TTAAAAAAGAAACTAGTGTAAGGGAGAAAGAGAGAAGTTCAAACAGTCTTCAGTTTTTACCAGTCATCATTGGATCCAAAGGGTGTTCCGTAAAGTATCTTTTCATTTATCCACTCTTCAAGCAACTCTCTATAGCCAGCATTCTCAAGAAGTGTACGAACACGCTTTTTGTGTAATATAACCAGTGGCCACTTGTTGCTCCTGCTATGCAATTCCTTCACAACAGCAACAAGCTGCTCTATTGCAATACAGGATGGAACATGAGTCAAGTAGCTGCTTTAACAACATTAAATGGAAAAACCAAATGAAAGGGAATACATAGCAAACTTAATATTATCAACCTGTGCAATACTAAAGCCTCCCTCGGCAAAATTCTGCTGAAATAGCCCAACATTTGCTGCATCCACAACAGCATCATAATCTGAATTTTCCAGCCAGTCCTACACAATTCTTGGAGAAGTTAGGAAAAAAACTCAGAAAATACTAGAGGGACGCAGCATATATGTCGCATTTGAATAGAATAGTTGTGGTAAATCACATACAAAGAAATAACTAAAGATAGCTTCCTCACCTGAAATTCCTTAAAATTGGAATGGACTTCCCTTTCCATTGCCAAAGAAGCAACCGACTCTGCAAATCTTTCTGTCTCTGCTCTGTCAATATCAACACAAACCAACTGTTCCCCACAAGTTAGACACCTCCCATCTGGAGCTATTTGGGACCTCTGTGCAAGCCATTTACCCTTTCCAAGCCATCCAAGACCATGCCACCCTCCACCATTTTGTAGAATTGCTTGTTTCACCTGATCCATATCCCAGTTGGATAACCCCACCTTAGATGCCATTTCCCCTCCAAACCAACTTTGTATGATTTCTGCTGTCGAGTCACTTACGCTCCTGATTGACATTCTCAGTTTATGTAAATACTGATAGACCTTCTCTTCCCTTTCTTTCTCCACACTCACCTAGAAGGTAAAAGTTCAATCAACAATTAAGCCTCAATCCCAAATAGTTGGGTCATCATTAGGAATCCCAAATCTACATACTACAACTCGTTGAACTATTGATCAACTGACAAATTGGACTTCCCCGCAAACAAAATACATGGTGCATTATCCACCGAGTTTAGAAGGCTGTGATTGGTCCAAAGGCCGGGTCACAGACAGATTTCTCGGTTATCAAAAAAAATAAAAATACATGGTGCATTTTTATTTGAGTAGTACAAATTTGCCCCCTCCCCACAACACAGAATAGCAACCAACAGAAGCAGCAAAAGTGCTGGCAACTCAAATCACTGAAAAAAGACTACATCTTGAACCACAAATTACAATTGATATTACCTAAACACTCATCAATAAGTCAATTAGCAATAACTGGGACCATACAATGACAAAAAGAACTCACCTTTAACAACCCAGCAAGCTCAGCTTCCTCAAGTTGCAAGCCAAGAGACCGCATGTGTTCTTCCACTTGATAGGTCTTATCAGCCTCACCCATCTTACAAAAACAAAACAAAGCCGGTCCATAAGTCCTTAACTTCCCACAACTCCCCACCCCTTTAGCCAACTCAAATGCTCTATCACCGTCATCAGTTGCTGCCGCCAGCCGAGCAACAGCCGTGACAGTTGCCTCATTAGGGGTTATATTACACGAACCCATATGTTCAAAAACTCGAAACCCAAATTGAATAGCGTCATTTTTCGTTGATGGGTCTGAAAAGGAGTTGGAGCAGATGTAAAGAAAAGAATTGAAATGGTTATTGGAAAGGCGGATTGTTGAGGGTTCTGAAATAGCGGATTCGTATAAGGAGATGGCTGTAGAAAGATCTTTCGTTTTCGAGCAATTGTCTAGGCTTAACCGGAATTGACCTTCTGGAGTTAGGTTTTTCTTCTTGTTTTTGGCTTTGTCCATTTTCCGGCAGTAGTGGCGGTTGCGGCAGCAGCTGCAGAGGCGGAAGAAATAGTAGCTACACCTGGGTTTGGGTTTTGGAGTATAATTCGAGGGTTTAGTAATAGGAAAAATCTTTTTGTATTTTATCTATGTTATTTTGTCGTTTTAAATATTTTTACCCGTTTAATTTTAATACATTTTAATTAAAAAATGAAAAAAAAATACAATTTATTTTAAAATAAAAAAATATTATAATTTTTTAAATTTTCTGGTCAAATTCTCTGGCCTTAGGGCCCGTTTGGTCATGCGATATGGTATCATGATATGGAATCATGAGATGAAATTGAAGGTTTGTTTGGACATGCAATATGGTATTTGTTTGTTGTATATTTTCTCATATACATAAAAATTCCATAAGTTGTAAAACTATTAAAATAGCCCCAATTGTTTATTCAATCTTATCAAATAAACAAAAATTTATAAAATCG